AAAAAAAAAAAAAAAAAAAAAAAAAAGTGTGCATTCATTAGGGTCTGACAAAGACACAATCCGCTTTGTCCATTAAACTGCTCACAGACCTGCTTAATTGGCTTCAGTGTGGGGAGGGTGGGGACAGGGGAAGGAGGGGCCGCTTGCCCACTGGCTGGGGTTGTCAAGGGAATGGGCCCTGGGCGCTTGGAATGAGGGCGCGCCAGCAGGCTGGGGAGCCGCTGCTTCCACTGCAGCCTCCAGGGGGAGGGGCCCTCCTCCAGCCAGCAAGCACCTCATTATTCCCATCAGGGATGAACTCAAGTTGAAGGGCATCAGCCATGGCAGGAAAAAACTTCCCGGAGGCGGCCTGGGACTCCCAGGCAGGCAGACCCCCGGCGCCCGCCCATTGGTTGGGGAGTCGGAGTCGCAGATGCCAGGACAGAAACCAAACCTGCAGCAGGTACTCTCCCCCGCAAGCAGGAGAGATGGGTGCGGCCCGTAAGATGAGTTCCAACTTCTCTTCCCAACTTCACCTGAGGCCAGAGAGGCGTGAGCTGGCGAAGGCAGAGGGCTGAGAAGGGTGGGTTTGGCTTTGAAATGGTCAATTTCTTTCTGAGGTATCACCTGGAGGAGGTGCTCCCCAGGTGGCAGGGTGGTGGCGGCTGGGCCTCTCTATAAATGGCCCTCAGCCTCCCTGGCAGGTCAATTAATTGTTACTCAGGGACTTTAGAAAGAAACGGGGTACCAGGGATTCCCACTTAGCACCCCAGGAGCCCAAGGTGGCCCACAAAGAAGTGCTCGGAACTTCCAGAGGCCAGACCAGCTCCACACGAAGCATAATTGCTGGTGATTAAGTAATTGCCAGACTTTGTCCAATAAAAGTAGCACGTGACCGCGCCCAGCCTCCTGGGCCATCTCCAGAGGACAATGGTCTAGTGTTCTGTCCCTGCTGGCCCCGCTGCAGAAGGCAGGGGCTCTGCTCCCGACAAAAGCAACAGGTCCCGCTGGGGCGCGTACTCACACACAGGCCTCGGTGCCGTTGGGGAACACTTCACACTTCCCGCCATTCAAGCAGGTCTCGCTGGGCTGGGAACACCGCAGGCCTGGGGAGGGGCAAGAGGAGAGACAGGTCAGCCTCCGAGGCACCAGAGCCCTCAGCTGCGGGCGAGGCCACCCCAAGGGACACTGCCCTCCCCTCACCTTGGAGGCTCTGCGAGTAACAGGGCTGCTGGGGGCAAGCACCTCAGGAAGCCCCCCCTCCCAATGAACCCCAAGGGGCTTCAACATTCTGCCCAGAGTTCTGTAGTCAGAAACGGGGGAGGGGACGAACAGGTTGCCTGCATGGCAGGTGCACAGGTCATGCTCAAAGTGGGGAGTGGTGGCCTGAAATGCCACCTGGACAGCAGTGGTGAAAACCTGAGATGGCCCTCGGCCCTCTCCCAAACATTGCACCCCCACTCCATCTTCACTGGGGAGCCGAGTTGGGCTGGGGCCCCTATCCAGCCACCAGGATTGTCTTGCTGTTCAAACACGTTCTGCGAGGGGGCGGCGCTGAGGGGTGGCCACACTCTGGCTCCCCGTTCGTGGGAAAATGCGACAGCTGCAAGGCCAGCCGCCCCACCCGCCAACAAAGCGCCGGCCGGCAAGGAATCAGAGCAGCCCATTGTGGTGCCAGGGCGGCCTCCTGGGGCACCGGGACTGCACCCTGGGGACCTGGCCCCGCCTCCACAGACACCCAATACCTGCTCCCTCGGGCATCTTCAGGGCTGCCCCCCTCACACACATACACCGGGAGGGGAGGATGAAGATGCCCCATTTGGAAGGAGTTTGACCCCATTCCCGAGAAGAGATCAATTAATCAAGTCCCTCCCTCCCCATCTTACCAGGACGGTGTAAATTAAGCCCCTCATAGAGGCTGGGAGGGGGCATGACATGGAACTCTACCTTCTAGAAGTGAGGAACTAATTCCCCGCTCCAACTTCTGGAGGAATTGAATTAATCACCACTAGATTCCTCGGAGACCCCCTCCACGTTAAAAAGAGTAAGAGCCCCCTCCCCACGTCCCACTCTTCCCTCGGGCAAGATTTCCAAACTTGAACTCCGTGAAGTCAAAGTCCCACCAGCCGCAGCTGAGTCTTCTGCAAACCCGCCACCCCTCAAATTGTGAGTCGGGACAGGGGGCAGCGATCCGGCGTGGGGAGGAGACACTGGCGGGCGGGACGCCCAGGAGCCTGGGACCCTTGGGTCCTGGGTCCGTGCCCCTCGCCCTGGCCCTGCCTGAACTCTCCTAACGGGGTAGGGAGGCCGGGCCCGCCTCGCGCCCCGCTGCCCACCGCGCCCCGCAGCTCAGGGAAGGCGAACGCGGCGCCCGGGACCCCACACTCCGCGCCCCAACATCCGCCCCTGGCGTGGGCCAGGAACGAAGAAAAAAGATAAATGGCCCCCAAAGCAACAGGAAACCAAAACCAACTCGATTCAAATCGAAAAGTAGTAGGCAGTTCGCCTGCCCCGGCGGCGAGCCCCACGCGCGGCTAGTGAAGGGCGAGCCCCGGGCTGGGCCTCCGGGGGCGCCCGGCGCCCCATGCCGGCTTCCAATCCCTCTCCAGGAGCGGGCGGCAGAGTCCACCCCGACTGGGCAGACGGCGCGGGGAAAGGGTCAGTCCTTCTCCCCGAGTCCCAGGCTCCGGCTGTCCCCCTCCCAGCCCACCCCCGCCCCGGGACGCCGGGTCCCCCTCCCTCCCCACCCTGGCCGCCCGCTCCCAGCCACTCCGGGCGCGCGCGTAGGGCGCTGCCAAAGTTTCCGAAGGGCGCGGAAAGTTGCGGACCCGCAGTGGGCGGGCGCCTACCTCGTGCGCCGAGCGCGGGCAGCAGCGCCAGGCAGAGCAGGGGCGCCAGGAGCGGCGGCATGCCTGCCCGCCGGCTGCCCGCTGCGCCCGGTGGCGGCCTCCTGCGCCGGGCCGGCGGGGCTCACACCCACACGCGCGCGCCGGGAAATCCCACGAGCGGCAGCCCGCTGCTGCCCTCTCCTTCCTGGCTGGCGGGCGGCGCTGTGCTCTCTTGGCCACTCGGCCCGGGCTCCACGCCCCGGCTTGTCCCTCGGCTGCGCCGCACCCGCACCCCGCGCCCCTGCGCTCCCTCCCGTGGCCGAGGCACTAGTGAGGCGCAGGGCGGCTGCACGCTCCGCCCCCGCACACCGGCCCCGCCCCCAGGGCCCCTCTCTGGCCGCGCCCCTCCGCGTGCCCCCACCNCCGCACCCGCACCCCGCGCCCCTGCGCTCCCTCCCGTGGCCGAGGCACTAGTGAGGCGCAGGGCGGCTGCACGCTCCGCCCCCGCCGATCCCTCCGCACCCCTCGCCCCCTCTCTGGCCGCGCCCCTCCGCGTGCCCCCACCAGCCTTGCGCTTCCTAGAGCTGGGGCGCGCGTCCGGAGCCTCGGTCCTCCGGAGTTGGGGGCCACGGCGGTCCGGGGGCTCCGGGGCCGACCCTAGGGACTACTTCTCGTTCGAAAGTTTTTAGAGGCCAAAAGTTTTCCGTACTGCGGAAGGATCTGCCTCTGGCTGCCGCCGTATCGGCGACAATTGGCAACCATTTGCATCTCAATAGCAGAGGCTAGGGCCGGGCGGGGGAGAAAAGGGAGCCTGGAAGGGCAGTTCCCTGCGGGGAGCTGAGACCCGGGAGGTGAGGAGGAGCCTCCAAAGCCCAGTGTGGGAGACCCCAGTCTCGGGACGGGACGGGACCCTGGCAGAATTCGCGCCCTCGGCCGTCGCGGGTGCGCCCTGACCCAGGGGCTCCACCCCCAGAAGCCCCTTAGTCTCAGCTTTAACCCTCCCAGAGACCGAGGCCAGACACCCCTCCTGGCTTTAAACTGCCGGGTCACTTGACCCAGAGGGATGGTGACGCCACGGCCACAGCCTCTGACAAGGGGGTTCTGGGAGCCCCAAGGGAACCGCCTAGGGCCAACGGATGGATTGCACACCCGCTCCCCCAGGAGGAGCCCCGCTCGGGACGCTCCTTGGTCGCTGTCCTGCCCCTCCCCCTGGAGCCTCCCACCTAAGGTGCCCCGCAAAGCCTGGGTCATGCAGATCCGCCGCTAGCGCCAGCAGCCCTGGCCCTTCCCACGTGCTCCTTCCGGATGATTTATTTCAACCCCCACCGCGATGCCAGATTTGGGCATCCTGTGCCACGGTGGGCTAAGCTCTGGGCGTCCAAAATGCCTGTGATAGTCCTAGGAAACCAGAATTCATGGCCTCCCACTGGGGACAGATAGCCTGCCCCATCCTAACAGGATGGTGAATGCGCTGGCAGGAGACAGGAGGCACATCCACCCAGCCCCTAATCCTGAAGGCCTTCCTGGAGTAGGTGGGTGCCAGAGAGGGAGCCTTAAAGGTGGAGAGGGACCTAGCCTGGTAAAGGGCACTGGGGCACGAGATGCCACAGGACAGCAGAAAACCTGGTGACTGGCAGAGAAGCAGCTCTTGCCAGGGAGGCCCAGAAAGGTTGCACACCTGCCCCTGCCCCGCCCTTCTTGGCACACCTGTTGCAGGGCACTGGTCGCAGGGCGACTTCTCTTGTGGTCAGGGCCTGGCCAGGAGGCACCTGGAGGCAGCAGGGGTGTTTATACAACAGTAGCAGGAGCCTGGAAGAGCAGATTTTCATAGAAGGAAGAGGGGGCTACAAAGACCCTCCCCTGCTCCCCCCCAGTCACAGACTCAGCGCTCTGCACACCACAACCCCCTCTTCCCAGATGGACCGAAGGTCTCAAGCCAGTCCAGCCTGGCGCTTCTCCTGGAGCCACTGCCTGTATGCTGTCCGTTGTGTCTTTGCCAATAGACCCCAGGCCCAAGGTGAAGACCCACCCAGCCCTGGCTTGGGAGCAGCCCTGGAGGAGGGGGCCCTGGAGGAGGGGCATCTTACCTGGGTCTGCTCCGCTGTGCCCACTCTACTCTCATTAGCCCACAGAACACCAGGGCAACCATGCCTCCAACCCTTGTGCCTCCTGAGAAACCCTTGGGCGTCTGGGGTAGAGGATACCCCAGGAAAACCAGAAGTGGCTGGGGCTGGGGAGGGGTTCCCTCCCCTCCAAGCATGGGAAGGGGGTGGGGCAGCCCTGGCAAGTGGGTGTGAAGCTTGTACACCCACACATTAGACTGGCGGTTTCTGGCCTCCCTCTTGCCTCTTTTTCTGAACCTTCCCAGGCCAGGGGTTTTGAGGCGGGGGTGGGATCGGGGTCCTGATGGTCTAGGACCTGGAGCTCTTTTATGAAGCAGGCAGCCCTGTATGGTGGACGGCAAGAAGCTGAACTGGGGGGCAGCAATGTGAATTGGGCTTCCTGTCCTGCTTATGTGGGGGCTGAGACAAGGTCCGAAGGGCAGTCCCCTGCACAGGCTGCGGAATGAGCACGCCCCATGCTGACGGGGGGACCTGGAGCCCGTGGGGGTGAGGCTGCAGGCTGGCTCGTGGAACGGAGGGGCGAGTGTCCAGCAGCCACTTTCTTCTCCAGGGGCTGCCTCAGGTTCCGGGCATCTCCCCTGAAGGGGAGAAGGCCCTCACACTGCACACCCAGCCAGCTGCGCGGGGCCAGTTCCCCTTTCTCTTGCCATCGTCAGGGTGGGCTGGGGAGGCCGTGGTGACATTGGCCCATTCCTTTCCCCCAAGAAAGCCCATCCCAGCATCTTCCTGTTGGGGTCCAGCATGGCTTGTCTTCTTGGGGCAGGGGATCGGCGTGTTTAAAGGCCCGCAGGGTTCTCAGGTACAGCTAGGCCTGGGAGTCCTGGTCCTGGAGTGCGGGCCCCGCCCTCCTAGCAGCGATTCCCGATTCCTCATGACACCTCAGTTGTTGCCGCAGCCTGGGGGGTGGGGTAACGTGATGATCCGGATCTTTCTGGCTCAGGGTCAGGCCAGGTTGGGCCTTGGTCTTCAGCAGACAGGTGGGCCCCCCTCAGAGGCTAGGTGGGCTGGAGTGTACACAACGGGCTGGGTGAACTGCTGCCCTCGCGAATCATCCACAACGTGGGGGAGCTGGCCGGACTTAGGGTAAAGGCAAGGTCTGCTGTATGTGGGTTAGAGAGGGGAGGGTTGTTAGGGGAGGAGCAACTGGGCTGAGGGTGGGGGTGGCCTGTGAGGGCGCACTGGCCTGGCAGGAGGTGCCAGCTGGGGCAGCTGCGGGAAGACCCCAGAACACAAAGGGTAGGGCCCTTCCACCTTTAGAAGTTGATTGTAAAACAGACCTGAACTGCTCGCAAAGAGAGAGCCAGTGAGTGTCCAGCCTCTTACTCCAGCCCTTGACTTCCATAGCCAGACCCAGGCCCAGCACTGGACTCTGACTGGCTGGGCCACCGAGGGACCATTGGTGTCCCCTGGGCCTCAGTTTCTCCCACTATGACATGATTTCTAAGGTCCTGTCTGCCTTTTTCCCACTTAAAACCAACCTGGAACATTTCCCAGCGATTTGAGCATCTTACCAGGACGTAGTTTTAGTGGCTGTGTGGTATCGTGTCGGGCGGACAGGCCAGGCGGGCTAGCCGGTCCCCTGTGAGCAGAGAGCCTCCACAGGGGGCGCGTGTGGGGGCTCCACCTCTTTCCTGAGGGCGAATCCAGGCTGACCTCGCAGGGTTCCCCTCGTTCTCAGAAAGGAGACCGGGGGCTCAAACTTGCCCCTTCCTTGCGCCCATGCAGAGTCCAGTGTGCACCCTAGGCCAGCATCGGCAGGCCTGACGGGGGAGTCCCCCTGTGCCCTGGACTCCAGGCCATCTGCGTGGGGTCAGTTCCCTGCTCCTATTTCTCTGTGTCTTTACTCTGCTGAAGTGACCTGTCCCTCCTCCGCCTTCACCTCCTCCAGAAAGCCACCCTAGAGCCCCTCGGCCTCCCCACTCCCAACACTGGTCTTACGGCGTTTGCAGGGGCGTGTATGGTCCTGGACGCAGGGACCTTTCGCTGTGGGTCCCGCTCGAACCCACTGATGCAGACTGACCTGTGACTGATGGAGGGGACAGGTGCCTGCCCCTGCTGGGGAGCCTGTTCACCTGGGGCCCGCAGCGCTCACTATTTGGGAGCCCCGAGGCCTCTGGGCAGCTCAGGGCCAGGGCAAGAGTTGGCCATGAGCCCCCTCCTGCCCACGAGGCTGAGAAGGGGGGTCAGAACCCCAGAAGCAGGCATAGAACCTGGGGAGTGTGCTGCCCGGGCAAGTCCCCGACAGGTAGCTTCCCCAGCAGATGAGCTGACGAGGCCTGGCTGGTGTGGGTTCTGAGAGCCATGGGACTGGCCCATGGGGCCCACCCAGTACTTGTCATTTGAGAAATGGGCTTCAAGGTCGCCAGAGCAGTGCAGGCCCTGACAGAGACCATCTGCCCATCCTTTCTTGGGGACTCAGGCTCAGAGACCGCCTGCCTCTCCCCAGCACCCCCTGCACTGACTGTTCGGTGCACAGACTCCAACAGCAGGTGGTCCTGGGCATGGCCTCCCAAGTCCTGAGAAGGAGGGGCCCCTCTCCAGCCCCCAGGTTGCCTCAGCTGCCCACGGAGCGTGGGCTGAGTTGGGCCTGTGGTTAGGTCACTCAGGGTTCAGTGATCACCTCTGAGTTCCCCCTGTGATCACCTCTGAGTTCCCCCTCTGAGACAGTCAGCCTCAGAGGAGGAAAGGCCTGGCCAGGGACTCCAGGGCACCTTGCCAGGCGAGGGGGGGCCTGCTGAGAAGTGAGCCAGGTATGCCCAAATCAAGGGGGGCTGCGTGGAGGAGGGACGTGGTGGGGTGTGGGCTCAGAGCTGTCTGAGCTCAGAGCTCAGAGCGGACACCTCCAGGCAGGGGCCAGCCAAGGCGGGCAGCCCTGACAGGGGAGATGTCCCCATGTCCATTTCACGGACTGGGCACTGATGCTCCCGGTGGGGTTGTGAAGCCCAGCCTGGCACCCGGGTCTGCTCACACCAGTCCCCACCCTCACGGATCCTGGGTCCCTACAGAGCCTGCTGGGGGTGCTCCAAGGGGGACTATAGCTCTGGGGCGCTCCCACTCTGCCTGGCCCTACAGGCTGTGCTCAGAACTGTCTCCAAAAAAGAAAGGGCCCCGGGGGACGAAACTGCTCTGCCCCTCCCCCTGGGCATCGGTACAGACAGAGCCTTCACAGGCCTGAGTCACTCATGGAA